CTGTCCGCCATTTTGATTCATGTTGAAAACCTACTTTTTCGAACTCCTCCTAGACCGTTAGTCCAATTTTCACCAAATTTGACTCGGATCATCTTCAGACCAAGCTGGCAAAAAGTTATGGATTTCGTGTCGATATACGAAACGGTTTTCGTTTAGAGCATCAACGAATTTGCTGGTTAAGATGCCAAAATGCATCTGAGGCTGTATCTCTGCAAAGCTTTGACGTATTTGCACCAAACTTTGTATGTGCCATTGTCACCTCACACTGACCACGCCACATCAATTTGGTAACAGCGCCACCTATTGGTCAAGAGTAATAAACCATTGATTTATTATTAATTATGAAATTTCCAAAAATGCTAATAACTTTTGATTGCATTAGCCTATTGCAATGAAACTGCTCTCAAAATATTCCTTGGCTTATGCCGACAACAGACATACCAATTTTCCCTTAGCAAATCTGAACTGCCTGTCGGCCATTTTGATTTATGCTGTAAACCTACTTTTTCGAACTCCTCCTCAAGCCTTGGTCCGATTTTCACCAAAATCGAGTCAAATCATCTTCAGACTGTGCTGACAAACTGTTATGGATTTCGTGTAGATAGACGAAACCGTTTTCGTACAGTGCTGCTACAAATTTTAGGTATGGTGCCAAAATGACTCTAAGGTTTCTAAATGAAAAATTGTTTCTACACCATTTTTTGTCAGTCTATTACAATACAAGTGATGTCGATTGAGCTTAACTTGTACCAAACACAGAATATTTCTTTAAAACTGCTATAAATTGTTTGTATTTTCCAAACACACATATGAACGTTTTGCCGTTGATATACTTTGAACAGTGCTGTGTTCTAGTGTTAAAGTGCCCTCACCAATTACTGCAAGATGGACACTCTGAATGAAAATTCGGTTCTTGATATTTGATTCACCATACACCAAGTAACTCTCATAAATGCCTGCATCGTTGAATCTGACATCCTGCAAGAACAAAGAGCAGTTTCCTCTCACAAGCAGTTCCTCTGGGACATCTGCCCGGTCTCTATAAGCCTCCCCCTGAAACTGCTCCTGTCCCATTCTCTCAAACACTGAATAGCTTATGGTCTGCCACTGAATGTGAGGCGTGTGATCAGAGTCCAGGTGTGATGCCACAGAACAGGGCAGGACAGCTGGCAGACCGACCTTTGATGACATATGGACAACCACTGAGAGGGGAGAGGAGCCTATAGGGAGAAGTTCGATAAAATACACATTATTATTTGACATTGAAATAAAGAGCAAAATTATTATAAATAATAAAGTTGGCATACTTATGTCATTGGCTACTTACTGACACAAATGATAAGCCATAGCATCATAAAGGCTGAAATCCTAAGAAGAAATGTTATAAATTATAATTACTGAGACCAGAACCATGAGAACAAAATTTTATTTCACAGCATTGTGTTCTATTAAGTAGTGCTCCCTATGGCAAGCCAAATTAGCTTTTAATGTATTTTTTTTATTTTTACTAGTAACATTTCAGTTTGACAGCTCTTCAATACAATTGTTACTTGTAACAATACCCATTAGAGAGCTGTATAAGTCATTACCAATTGCATTAGAGAGCTCTGTAATTGAATTAGAGTAATTTAATTCAATATTTACTCTCCATATCCAGCCATATGCAAAGCATGCTGGGAACTAACATTCACTGCCAAAATAAAACTGCAAAATTGAGCTAATTCAATTAAAATAAATAGGCAGCCTTCTTTCCTTAATTTTTCAGTGTAATCAGTTCCTCAGTTCAAGCCTCAAAACTACTTAAGTTTCCTTAAAAAATATGAGGAAAACATAATCTCTTGGTTTTATTAGTGAAAAGTTCTCAATATTTTCTATATAACACTGAACCACAATTTCTTTTAATAAAATATACACACTATTTTTAATTATCACCTTAATTTTTTTTATGAAAATTACAAGACCCATGATTAATTTTTTACTTGCGGAGCTTTGCAGTTAAATATATCTTTAATGTGTTTTACTTGTAAAAACTTAATTGAATGTAATTAAATTAAGAATTGAATTGCAGAGCTCTCTAATGGCAATTCTTACTAGTAAAAATTCAGTTGTAGAGCTCTGTAATTAAAAACAAATGGAAGTCAATGGAGACATAGGACTAGTAAAAATGTAATTGTAGAGCTCTCGAATTCTAGCTAAATAGTAAGAATTGAATTACAGAGCTCTCTGAATATAATTGTGACTAGTAAGAATTGGAATAGAGAGATCTCTAATCATAATGTTTACAAGTAAAAACTGAATTAGCTCTTACTAGTAAAAATGCAATTACAACGAGCAATGCTGGGTGTATTTAAAATGCCCCTATTATGCCATTTTTAAAGTTCCTAATATTGTTTTGGGAGGCTGAAAGTTTACATGCATGCAAGGTCAAAAAACACTTTTGTTTTCTCATAATATACATTTAATTTCACTGCATTTCTCAATGATTTGTAAACGATTCGTACAAAGCAGTTCTAAAGCTGGGCTCACACTGTGCGATTTTTAATAGTCCTTTGCGATTGTTGCTTGTCACACTATACGAACATGCAGGGATGGGCAGCATTTATGATACATTGGAATTTTATCATTATAGGCAGGGATGGGCAGTATTTATGATACATGTATTTCAAATACGTATTTTAAATACAAAATAGTATTTTGTAATCTATATTTGATAGGGTTGATGAAAATGGCTTCGTATTATGTATCAAAATACTTTAGTGTTTTGTATTTTTGTAGTTTTAAAATACTGTAAAATACTTTGTAAGAAGTCTACATGATGACATCATAAAAATGCGGCCTCTGATGGGTGCTACTCAATAGGCTAGTTTGCCCAGACTTGTTGAGATCAGAACAGAAAATTGATGCATATGGAAGGAGTTGGTCAAGGTAAGAAACGTGCAGGCTGCCATCTTTCCATCAATTTTTTT